CGTCAGTGGGAAATGAACAAAACAATATGTATAGTTTGACCTCACAATTGTTTTCCTTAGGATTAAGTCATTAGAAAACTAGAGTTCCCTCTGCTGGCCAAGTAATAAATCTGTAGCCTCCGAACGGCGCTGACGTTCCCACGGACGCTTACATGCAAGCGAGTAGCTTGGAAGAGAAAGCCACGTTGACTCACATAGGAAAAAGCACAAAGGAAAAAAAAAAAACAACAAACCTACAAAGAAATATAAGAAAGTGCAAAACTACTTGGGGAAACGTTTCAGGCAAGTCAGGGAGTACTATAAAAAGAATATGACATTTAATGTTTACCTTTTGAAGGTTTTCTCCTTATATAAATATACATATATTTGTATACTTAGCCTCTGTGTGATGATGTTGGGATTTCTGTGCTGTCAACTGACTGTAAGTGTGCTTCTGCTATTCCTCTTATAGTTGAGATTGGGATTCGCTGCTGCTAAGCAGTGAAATAACTAGCAAACCGTTTTCACATTTAAAAATACATATAAACATTTCTTTGGAGTGGAGCATTTCCTTCTGTTGCAGAGATATGAGATCACTTTTAAGCAGAAACCGGTGAAGTTTAAACTTAGCTTTACCTGTTTAAAATAACATGTATTTGGTACCTTACAGTTCACAAGGTTAAAGAGGTAAATGGTTTCACGTATACCGTAGCCCCCCACTAAAAAGAGGACAACGATGAAGAGCCAGCCACTTTTGCAGAGGTGGGAAGTAACTAGTTAGCATAGTTAATCTTTTGAGACACATCCGTGGCATTAAGTGGATTCTTTTCATTCAGCTGAAGGCGCAACAGCTGGATTCTGTCATCCTTGACTGGGGCGGTCTTGTTAGTGTAGGATGACCTCTGGAGCACTAACACAGATAATACTGGCACCTCTCTCTGCTCTAATCAACTACCAGTCTGAGCAATTCTACAGGAGATGGGGGCATTAAGGCCATATTATTCTAAACAAAATTCAGTGATGGTAGCAGAGTATTGTGACAGCAAAAGACAGATTCTACCTTTCCCACCGAAGGTTTTTAATGCTAAATTTAGAGAATGGTCTGTAAAAACAACACAGTACCATATTTTCTCCTTTTTCTTAAAGTTATGTCTTGCAAAACTGGACTGTTTGTGTCAAGTATGTCTAAGCTAAAACTCTCACAGTTTTACTGCCACATATAAAGCTGTTCATTGCAAACACACATAGTTAATGTGGTCTCTCCATCTCTTTCCACATACATTAGGGCTGGCACAAAAACAAGGATTTCTGAACATTTAGCTGGAATGCAGAAGACTCAGGTTCAAGTTACCACTCAGTTCTAGAGCAAGACATTGAACTAGAGCCTCCTAAATCTGAATTGAAGAGCCCTGTGGATGAACTAGGGGTAATTTTGGTGATTGAAGTCCTGAATTTTGAACATTTTCAAAGAAGCTTCATCAGAAACTGACCAGTTTCCATGGTATGCATGAATTTTCAGTAAAAATATTTCCTGTTGTAAAGTTTTCATATATCATAGCTAATTCATAAATCATAGCTCATATAACATGCTGTGGATAAAGCAATAGACAACAAAGCTTTCAGTAGCTACAAAACAGCAAAACAAATGTAAATAACAACAAAAAGGGATGTGTATGCCACATAGGCAGCACTCTACCAAGTTGTTCAGGTTCTCTCACAGGCATTTGGTGTACCTCTACGTCACCACTAGTAACAGTGTATGCACAACGCATGTAGTATAAGATACTAATGTTACAGTTAACAGCAATTCTGTTTATCCTCATGTATGATTGATTAGAAAATAACCAGTCAACTTAGCTATAGAATCAGCTATATGAAATTCTATGATACAGGCTTGCAGATGTAAAATGTTCATAGCCTGAATGCTTTGGTGTACTGTGACTTTCTCTAACTGTTACAAGTGCTTTCTGGATCACTGGGAAAGTGGAGCATTGCTACAGAGTCCTGTGCCTGAACAGGAGGGAAGTATCGGCTTCAGTTGCATTTGAGGGTGAACATCCCTGAAGTTCAGCTTCTACTGTAGAAATCATATAAGTAAATGTCCACCTCCAAGGCAAGAACACTTACATTTATTTTATTGACAATGGATAGGAAAAGGGTACTATTTATCCAACCAAAATAAATATGCAGAGTGCAAATGTCTAAAGTTAAGTAAGAAATCCCAACATTGATTTGCCCATCAAGTAAAAGAAGCAAAGCTATCTGAAAAACTTGGGGTGCTTACTTTCCTGCAGTCTATCATGTCAAAGACAGAAATAAAATCCAGTTCTCCAGAGTGCCATCACTGAATTGGTATAAGCATTGTGTTCCACCCTCTGTTGACAATTTTACTATGACAATACCAGTTTGATTTACTAGAGCTGTGACTGTCTATTGGAAGGGAAATACATTGATGTGAAAGGCAGGAGTACAGAGTGTCCATGCAATTAAAGACTGTGACATAACGAACACAGCCATGCAAGTCAGAAGCACTATTTCTTTTACATTAAGATGATGTAGAAGTAGTGCTGTTTTATAATTTCTTAAGGTTTTAAAAAAGCATGGAAATTGAAATCCCAATCCTCAAGAAAATCAGCAGCTGAACACTTTTGGTAACAGCATAATCCTGTAACTCTCAAACCAATGACAAAAAATGGATAGTAGGTGTCATCCTGTTTGTAAACCACTAAAAGGCTTTTTTAAGCTATAGTTGTTGTGGCATTCAGTACACAGAAAAATAAAGTTAATTCAGTTTTCCAGCAGAACAATTTTATTGGGGGGGGTTGAAGTTAAGTAAATAGGGACAGTGTAATTCTGATGCAACTTTCACCAATAAATATATACAAATGTTCACAAAGACTATACAATTATTTATTTCAGCTAAAAAAAAAAAAAGAAAGAAGAAAAAAAAAAAAAGAAAATAATGGGAATGACCACTAACTTGTTGCTTTGGCCAGTCAGCAGGGCCTTCAGCGTCTGTTCCTTATTTATTTGATATAGTCCAGTAATATGTATATAAAATATATGTAATTCTGATCTTCTGTAACTTGTAGGAGTTACTTTGCTGCAAGGAAATTCTTGTTCTCCTTTAAGCCCTTCCCAAATTAATGATTAAAGTGCAAAAGCAAATGATATAAGCTTCAAAATCATGACAAATCAAGTTTTACATCCTTTTGTCTCTCCCTTAGGTCAGGTTCCAGTCCCAGATCCCACGCCCATGTGAACTAGTGACTGGGGACCTCTTTGCCATCACCTTCCCTAGTGTCAACCATCTTTTTCTACTTGTGATCACCTCTGCTGTGACTAGTCCTTGTCATATGAGCTTCCTCAAAGTGGTTTCTTCTCACCACTGTGAGACACCACTGTGCCCTTAAGCCCTTCCAATTCATTTTCCCGATTGAACGCTGTCAGCAGGGGGAGTGTCAACAGCACAGGAGTCTCGCATAGGGGTTACAGGTCTTCAGGGAAGGGACAGACCTACTAGGTCAGGTAGAAATTTGGCCAAGTTATACAAACCAAAGACACAGTCACACTGGAAAGCATTGACACATATGAAAGAAAGAGAGCTCTTTGTGAAATGGAAAGAAACCCATCTAAACTTATATTTGAGTTGCCATAAAAATAACACCAAAACTATCACATGATTGGGCTTGAGATCTTTGCCTTATTATTACTAATTTATTTTAAATAGCAACTTCTTGTTGCATACTTTTTCATTATTTACTAGAGAGTTAGTCCACTGCTGGTAAGTTATAATGAGAATGAATTATGTTGAGATTGACCAAATAAAACATAAATCAATTTTGAGTATGCTGGTATTGAAACAAAATAGCCTGGGTAATCTGCACTGTCTGAACATTCTGTATCCCTAGATGATTCTTCCCTTCAGTGAGTCATAGTGTTCTAGTAAATATTGATTACATTCTATGTATATTTGTGAAAAGTTCAGCACAGCTAGGCTATTGCAATTAGTCCAAACCTCAGTATATTATCAGCATATGCTTAAGGAAAAACATGCATTCAGGATAGTAACTTAAGAATCCAGATGCTATTGTACGTAACACAATACATGAATGATCACATACAGTTTTCTTGCAATATTTCCATATACAAAAAGGAATAAAATGTAGAAATACACACACACACACAAAAACTTAGAGCAGTGCAATAGAAAATGCAACAATAACAGCAGAGCAGCAAGATCCCAGACTGCAGCAAGTAAGGATTCGCTCAAGCACAACAACAGTAGACACAAACATAAAGGAAAGAAGCTGCTTACCTTCAGAAGGCCTCAAGTGTACACGAGTCTCTACTACCAGCCCTTAAACAAGGTCTGGGAAAAGAACTGATGCTAGCTCCAGCCCTTCCAATCACTCAGGTACATTGCATGCACATGAGCTCCCCTGCGTTTGCCCTGCCTTCCCACCAGGTGCTTAATCACTGGTTCAAGCTGTGACTTAGCATTTCCACTACAAATACAAACACCAAAAAGCAAAACAAAACAAAACATTCCCCCCCAAAAAACAAAAAAGTGAGGTTTACTATTATGTTGTTGAAAGAAGTCACATAGAGAGAATGTTTGAACTGCCTAAAAACAAGGTTGGACAAAGGCAAGTTAATGACCAAACCAAATCTGTTTACTCAGGTGAACTAAACACTAAAAAAATTAAAATTAAAATTTTAAGATTCTCCAACTCAAATAGAATTTAAGAGCCCTAGGTTTTCTGAAGTAATGCTACCTGGCTGTGTAAGTTTTTGCTTGTTAACATTTGTAGACCTGACTGTCTTGTCTGAAGCGAGTAATATGTGGCTACTTAGGAGTCACAGATAAACTGTCCCTATCACTGAACTCCTGGAGGTCCTGATGCAGGAGATACTGCATTCAGACATAGCTGTTATTTTCAGAGGAAAATATGATGCTGGCATTTATGGTGATAACAGTGGTGCACTTTTATTAGTACCCCACGGTTAGGGCACCAATCCAGCTTTTACTGAGTCATCTTTTGCCTTCATTTCAGCAATATACTAAGGCACTTACCTAAACATTAGGAATAAATAACAAAATTGCTACCAGTGGTAACAATCAGGAGTGTACTGTCCTACTCTATGTGACTAAGACCTATATGCTTGTGATATTCCATGCTTGTGATCTGAGTCTCGATGTTTAACAAGTAATGAGATGAGGATCCCAATATTTCATTACAAATGTTGTCACTGTTGTGCACTTGATATTGTGACAAGGGTCATGCTTAATTTCACACTGTATTTGAATTTAATGTTTACAACCCTTTTCCTTAAAAAAGGTTGATGTGCACAAGAAAATCAATTCACAAGTTGTTTTCTGAGTATTATATATTATTCCAGAAATCCCTCAAGGCTTCCTTAGCGAAGAGAGAAAAAGTGGATCTTGCGCAAAGGTAGGAGTTGTGAGCCTTTAAACTCCCACCTTAGAAAAGTACAGAGGATGGTGTTGGTATGTATAGCTGACATGAGGCTTGCTGCTTCCTCTGAAGAGAAAGGAAGATGCTTCCCTCCCGGTGCTTTGGCATCAGCAATGAAGCTGGTGAGACAGTTATTTTTCAGTATTAGAGGCTGTCTGGCTGATGTAGATTGATGTCTTATGTGTATTTATATTTCTCCCTATCTAGATACTTATTTTAACAAAGAATCAGAGCGTGCCACTATTATTTTTTATTTTCAAACATTTCACTTTATAAATATGAAAATACTTTTTTCCTGCAGAAATGCAGACTGGTGCAAGATCACACAGGAAAACTCTGGTAATGCAGTTCCTTGAACTCATTTCTTCTAAGCAGATCCCTAGCAAGCTAATTGTCCTACTCTGTATGTCTTTTTGGTAGCAAATATCATAAAACTGAATATTTCTTTTTCCTCTTGATTGTTCTTCTACAACATACATATACCTTAGCTTCTACAAACAGTGTGGGAACTTTTTTTTTTAACCACTAATTCAATTGGTATATATAGTATTCCGATGTTTAAAAATGCCTTTGAAGGCTCGTCCAAAGCTCACTGAAATGACATCTTTATTTAATTTCAGTGGAATATATGGATGTGGACAAAAGGAAGATGTGGTCCTGCTTCTGCACTGAGAACTAAAACAGGGATCCTTGAAGGCATAGGGCATAATTTGCTCCTGGAATTAACAGAAGCAAATGGGATTCACAAGAGACTTCACAAAAATGGCTGTTTAACAATTTGAGAAGCAGTGTCTCTGAAAACACTTCTCTCTGAAACAATATCTGTTTGAACAACATTTTAACATACAGATGTCTTCTCTGAGATTTTTTCCCCCAAATTTTCTTCTATTCTGGATTCAGCAAGATCAGAGAGAAAATATGTCTCACCATTTGAAATAGGTTGAAGAACACTGTAAAGCAAGTGAAAATAACTGTCTGTGTTTTGCTTTACAGAGCAATGGATTCATTGGGCCAATGGCTATAATTCATTTTAAAAAGGTTGTTCTTGAGTTTCACAAGGTTATAGCTGTATTGAGTCAATACAGTAAAAACAATGTTCTGAAGAGCCCTGACAGGTTTGTTGCTAACTGTAGGAACACTGCCTCTCACTTCTGAAACAGAATAACTTATTACAACTAGAATATCTTCATGGGTCAAGTAAATTTCCAGAGGTTTTTTTTCTTTGTTTGTTTGTTTGCTTGTTTCTAAGAGAAATAGAGGAAAACATTGTGCTTTAAAACAATAGTAACATGAAAAATCAGCATTTGCCAGTATGCTATTACTAGCAGACTTGATTGTTTTCTAAAAAATCCCTACAATGATGCTTTTTTCTTTTTTTATCTAAGAAAATGTATTTTTTTGAAAAAATATTCTTAAATAAAAACAAACATTTGATAATCTCAATTCAAATTCTGTTTGTTTGTATTTTTAAACTTAAATATGCTTTGTTTTTAAAAATCTATTTACTGTAAATTATAATGCAAGAAATCAGCTTTGACACAAAGTCTTTTGATTTGACCTGAAACAGTTATTTCAAGAGAAGGGAGAAAAATGTGCACCACCCTGAGAGTGAATACATGATGGGCAACATTGAAGTACGCTCACTAAAACCACAAACCTTTCAGCTGCTGGCAGTAGTTCACTCCTGATAAATACAAGATGACTCCATGCTGTGAGACTGCAGAACCAACTTTGAATTGCAGAACACTTGAATGTAAGTGAGACATTTGCTGATGAGATGTGATCAGACAGAACTGTTTTATTTTTCTTGCAAAGCTTCGATACCATCTGAAGTCAGTCCTGTTGCAAATTTACCTCTGGTTGAACTGCTCTCTACTTTCCCTGTGAATTTGTATCTGAAGACAGCAGAAGTTGTTACAAAGAGAAAGAAAGGTAATTTCTGGTAAGCTACAGATTTATCTGAAGCATTTTGTGCTGTTTTCAGAACAGAAGTCCAAACTTTGACATCTTTCTAGACCATTAAGCCTTTTGAATATTTTTCAGGTTTCTCAATTACCAATCCATCTCGGCAATAATTCTAGGGTTACTGAGGAAATACCCCTTCAAGAAGAGTACTAGGAAAATCCATTTCAGTGATTATTTTATAAGGAATAATGACCACTTTGTTTCATTAGTGGCTTTCTGTTTTTAATCAGACATTTATTTTTCATATTCACCAAACAAGGATGTACAGCATATGTTAAGGGAAATGTGTGTGTACCATATGGCTGAAAAGAATAAATTCTGTATAAAATGGAGAGGGTGAATGAGGAAGAGTAAGGTAATATAATAGATAATGAATTCAGCCACATCATATGATTTTATTGTTATGGGGATGCAAAGACTAAGGAGTGGTATGGAGTGCATATGGATTTTAAACTCGGAAGACAGTTTTACTTTTAGAATTCTAAGATGCCCTTTTGGTCTCAGCCTAATCAGATGGCTCTGTAGTCATGAAATGAAAAAGGCTGAAAGCTTAATTCTTGCATATAGCTGACTGGCTAACTCCAGCTTCAGCAGAAATAAAGCCCAATAGATGCAGACATGTAAAACTGAAAAAAAATCCCTGAGTAAATTCTGTGATGTGTTAAATTTGGGTAGGTATTCAGTGTTTCAGAACAGCACTTTAATAATTTCTAAATACCAAAATCATGTACTTTGGCTTGCATTTAGAAACAAAGGCTCCAAAATCAATCAAAAGATTTCTTTTAGAAATTGGCTCAGCTTCCAAAAATGAATTTTCTGATCAGCCTTGGAATCAGGAAGCATTTCAAGCTGAAATCTCTAGAATGAATGGTTGAGAAACAAATTTTGATGTCCTAATCAGATACTGCCATTTTTAAAAGATATTTGGGGGGGGAGGGGGGGGGGGGGAAGGGGGAAATCCTGTGGAATATAAACATGAAATATGGATGGTACATTTTGGGCCATAATTTAATATAAATTGTTACGTGATAGTATAGTTCTTGTAATTCTTTGGAATTTGGATGATTCTATATCAAAATCCCACATTAATTAACTCTCCAGCCGTGGTATTCATAGTGAAATCTGCAGTTGTCTGTGTAATTGTCTTAATTGTTATGGATAAAATAACCTGAAATGCTCAGAATGTAAACTGGCACTGAGTTATCTACCTTACTTTACACACAGCCTCATCTTGCTAATGCCACCTTTCACAGAAGTGCTAGTGTTGAAAGAAAAAGAAACTGAATGTTCCTAATTTTACTTTCAGCATTTGCATTACACACTTATGGTTGTACATCACATCCTATCTATAATCCTGTTTACATAGATTATGACTTCTGATTTTTGCAACTGTCCATGGTTTAATATTAATGTCTAAAAATGTGCTCATTAGAATCATAGCTTGTGTCTCTTCCTTGAGGAGTGTATTATCATGTTTGGCAATATCAATCATTTTTAATTAAAGCAAGTAGCATTTCCCTCAACTCACCCCACAGTTTTACAGTTTAAAGAAAGTTACTGAGAATTTCCTCTTCTTAACATGTAGTTTATGGTCAGGTAGAAATACACAAGAACACTCTTGTATAAATCCATAGTCTTCTTTCAAACTTTTGTTTTAAGCATACCTGGTAGATTTATTGCTTGACTGTGCTTCAGTAGTCTGACTCCCTGTGGTGATTTCCCAAAGTCTGCAGGCAGGAATACACCCCTCCTGCTGCAAAAGATTATGACATCATGGATGTTAAAAAGAGAATGAATGATGTGGTTAGCCATGCATTCAATATATTACTAGAGAGGGGGTTATATGGAAACATGGCCTTTCTGTCAGATAGAATGAATGAGATATATAATTTGTTTTGTCCTTCTCTTAAAAGAACAAGGGAAAGGAGATAATCTGTCTTAATAAGGGCATGCTTAGAGTATCAACCAACTAGAAAGTAATATATTTTTAAACATCCATATGTGATCCCTTTATTAAATTAGGATGTTGAGCTAAATTTAAAGTATCAATATATAAATCAGTCAGTCAGTTAAATTAGCCAATTTTATACTGATAAATGGGAGTTAATAAAGCAATTACTTCTTTCTGAACCATAAGGCTCTGGTTTCCAAATCAGTCGTATGAGTTATGGATTACTGACATAATTTACAAGTTTTCATTTATGTGACTTATATCCTTGATTTCTTAGGAATTAGTCCTTTATTGTATTAAAGGCACAACAAAACAGCATTTGAGTAACATTAAGGATGGAGCGAAGCAACAAAATTCAAGGACTATTTATGGTGATGCAGAGTTCTTAACTCTAGTTGCTGTTATTTTTAACATAGAGGGAGTTAAGGACAGAATTGTTGCCTTAATATTAAAGGTCATGACTTTTCAATGTGTGTGTCATGACCTATGTTCCATACCTATAGGATTTTGCCTTTTTTTCTCTCATTTTTATAAGCACACACCAGTAGCAGCAGTTCTGCACCTATGTTGTCCATTTGTTATGAAAGAGGTGGTATTAAAACTTGTCAGTGTATTGCCACATAACCTTCACATTTTCTATTTTTATGAGGCTCAGCTTTGTATAGGTTGACGCCATTGGGGGGTTGGAAATGGTTACAACGTGAACAAGGTCAAGATTATAGAGGATGTGTCGTAAATAAATTCTCATTTTAATTTTTCACACGCTTTTCTCCTTGTAATGCTTACTGCCTGGTATTTATCCTTTTCTGCTCAACCAGAAGTAACCCACTTCTTGGGCCACACAAATCCTGAGTACCTGCACAAACTAACTTCAGTCAGGTTGAATTTTGGAAAAATCCTATTAGTAATTTGCAAGGCAGTTCTGAAATCCAAGAAATAAGTTGTAATTTGAAGATTAAACTTTTTACTATCCTCTCCTGTGTTATAGTTAGGAACACAAAAACACAGATAGTAGCAGCCATTATGAAAGACAGTAATAAGAATGTGTCAGGAAGACTTCACAGTTCTTACTGATGGCATTTGTGTAGTTCAGTTCATTAGGTGTTACAAAAACAACAACAGAGAAATCTCAAATCAATGAAATAATATTGAAATTGTGGCTTTTCCTACTAAATAGATACTCTTTGGAAAGTGACAAGAGGCTTTCTGAGAAATCAAAACTGGCTAATAGAGACTGAGACATTTCTGGTTAAAGCAGGGAATGAATAAGAATGTAGACAAAAAAAGTCAGACAGATGTTAGCATGCTCAAGGAGCACTGCCAGGGGAAAAGAAATCAAACAAAACAGCAAAATAAAATGCAACACAAGAAGATTGATGTGACCAAGAGTAGGATTCATTTGAGATCTAGCCCTAATGTCAGACTCATTTTACAGACTGGCAGAGTGAACAGAGTGAAAGAGTTACTTTAGTCACCTTACCTCCTATGCTCTGGACCTAGCACTTTGAATGGGGAGAACCGTTAGAAAGGTTGGCTTCAATCTCCCCAATGTATTTCCATTCAAATATCAACAGCTGATAGATAGGAATAGGTAAGGCAGTCAGAACTTGTATTTCCTAATGAAAATTCTATTGTGAAATATAAAGTTAGTTAACTACTCACTACAAAGGAATTTTTTTTTCATTAAAAAAAAAAAAAGAACTTTTAATAAAACGAATTACAGTTTTTCCCTCTGAAATGCACTGAAGTGCTTTGAAATGCTTACACTGAAATTCATATACACCGGTATATGTACAGTGCATTTTATATGAGGCTACTCCAAAAGTAATGCCTCCTATTTTATCATATTGGACCATGATATCAGAGGTGCTTATTGGTGGTATAGCAGTGTAGGGTGAACCTTTCCGGTCCATGGAGTGGTGACAGCGAATTCCTCACCAAAGAAGTTCAACAGGTAAAGTGATGTGCACTGTCTTCTGGGATAGGAAAGGAGCACCAGGCCCCACACCAATTTGAAGTCTGTGGAGCACACTATCAATCTTGGCTGGACTGTCATACCACATCCACGATCCAGACTTGGCAACTTCTGATGTCCTTTTTGAGCCAATGAAAGATGGACTCCCTGGGCAATATTTTCTTAGCAACGACACTGTCACAGCAGTTGTGAAAAGGTGGCTCACTGCACTGGTGCAGATTGTTACAAGCATGGCACACAGGCTCTTGTTCTTTGCTGGAAAATGCACAGTTATTAGTGTGACTGCCGAAAAACAGTGTTTTGTAGCTGAGAATTTGCTCTATTAGATAATGTTATTTTGCTCTTTGTGTCTGTTGTAGTTTTTGTGGAAATCACAGAATCACAGAATCATAGGGGTTGGAAGGGACCTCCAGAGATCATTGAGTCCAACCCCCTGCCAACCAGGTCGCACAGGTAGGTGTCCAGGCAGAAATAAATAGGAAACATTATTTTTAAAGCAACATATGAATTTCAGAGCTCACGTACCCGGGCTTCAAATACAAATGAGCCAAAAAGTAACTAACGACAGAGTTACTCGGCTGATGAACTTTCTGGTATGTGTTGGAGACGAAATATAGTTTTTAGCTGTCAAATTTTTAAAGTATGACTTTGAGGAAATATTAAAATGGATTTTCTGCATTTTTACCAAAATTTACCCTTCAATCCTATGTAATTGGTTAAAATCTATAAGGCAATACCGTTGCATTTTGTTCTAGCAGTAATGTTATAATAAGACAATTAACATCTGCCATTTATGTTGGTGTTATCAATTATCTGAACCCCTGTTTTCCTAACTGAAAATAACTGGATTTAAGTGAAACATAAACTCACTGTTATTGAATAGGATATGAGCTCAGTAAAATACTGAAGCCTCTTAATAAATTAAATTAAGAGTATCAATATTTGATAGACCTAGTAGAAACTGCAAAAACTCTTCTAGTGTTGACACAAGAGTAACCCAACTGATTCCACTAGCATACCTTTCTTTTTGGCCCCAACTAAAACAAATTATAAATAATTTTTAAAAAAATAATTTTGACAGAACTTCATTTTTCCTTTCAGTAACCTCTAATTTTGTGGGACTTCAGATAATATAACTTCCCTAATACAATTTAATGATAGCAACCTTACAGGATGCTAAAGAAAGTGTATTTGTTTACAGTATATAGAGCAATGCCAGATCTGGCTGGTGTGCAGGCAAGATTTCTCAAACTTTTGATCTGCAAGTTCTGCTTTCCAGAATGTCAAGATCCATGTTAAAAAGGGAATCTGGTGTGCAGAGTTTGTTCATCCCATCACCGCAATTTTAAAGCAGAACAGAAGACTGATAGAGATGATTAAAGGTATGGTATAAATATTGTATGGGCCATACAGACTTTTGGCCTGACTCAGACTGGCTCTTATACTGCCAGGATCATGGATTGCATTTGATGGGTTTAACTGTCAGGGAGGTAAGGAAAGGAAAATTTCCATCAGTTATGAGTGACTTTTTTTACTTTGTTCCCCTAAACTGTCAAGTAGTGAAGGTCTTCCTCTTACTCTCCTGGAGCTTCCTTCCTTTTCCCCATTTCTTTCTTCTCACATACACACATTTTAGCAATCTTTTTAGGAGGACTGAGTGAAAGGAAGGACCTGAATTCCTCTGTGTTTAATATTGATGTTCTACATGGCAAAATCTGTGCTTCATAGAGAGAAATTTTCCTTTTAAGAGGCAAAATTGAAGCAGATGATTGATACTTAGTCTCTTGAAATCCTGAAAGTTTTCCTTGAATGAAATCTGATCTTTGAAGGAGTAACCTGCCAAGTTAATAAAAAAAAAAAAAATGAAGGAAATGCATATAATGCACTGCTCAATTATTTACCACTGTGTAATATGAAGCCACCAGCATGTTTCAAGTATTCAAGTGCAAGAATGAATGTAAAAATGCATAGCTTCACAGAGTATCTCCTTCCATGGTAGGAGTGTGGTATCTATACAATTACAAAAGATCTATGTCTGGGAGAATATTGAAAGTATGTTTGCTTTCAGAAGTTATAAATTGCTGTTGTTCAGATGATCTAAAGTACAAGCTACATCAGTACAAAACTACATGAGGCTGGAGAAGTATTTAAACAGGAAAAATAATCAGAAATGTAAGATTGCGGTCACTCTCTACTTATGATCCTGATTTATAATGTGAAGACAAAACTCATTTTGGACCTCCAGGTAATGACAACAGTGAGGCAAAGTATTCAAATACTTTTCACTTTCTGAACTTCTATGTTCATCTCTGCACCCAAATAAAAACTACATTTTCAAAACATAGGTTTGAATAAGATTAATTAATAATATTTATCTCTATTATTCTACTTAGCATAGAGGATGGTGGTTCTACTTACGATGACCATGATAGTTAATGTAAGCAAAACTAAAATAGTTTTGGCTTTGAAAAAAAGGAAGTTGGACCAACTTCAGGCTGTGTGTGCTTAACATTCTCCAAAATGTTGCAGATGGGTTGAATGGAGGGCTGAGTTTGATAAATGGCTTTGGCTCTGAAGCCACAACGCAATACTTGTAAATTCTTTTGAGATTATTAGCCTGGTAGTTTAACATCTATCATTTGAGATAGACTAGCATTACTATGGATACAAGTAACTCATTGTGCACCCATGCTATTACTCTTCCTCTGGTATAATTGATATTGCTGATACTCAGTTGCTCATCCTGATAGATTTGATGAAATATTTTTTATATTATTAAAAGAAGGAAAAAGGAACCTTAATTTAAGGGATTAAATACTTAACTCCC